TCAGCTTCAGGGCGCTGATTGGCCCGACCAGTCTGGGGTGCGTGTGTACACCCCAAACGCGTGAGGGCAAAGGTTGCGCATCGCATGCGAACGTGGGCCATCGCGCTGGGTCAAGCACGACTGGGCGACCGAAATTGCCACTGCGAGACCACGCCTGTGGCGTCTTGCGTTTGGAGGAGGTGGACTGCAGAACCGCTACACGTATACCATACAGCCCAACTTTTTGCGGGCCAATCGCTTCTCGCATTTGTTTGCAACAACCTTTCTGCTGTCCATTGATTGTCTTGCTTGAGAAGTTTACTCAGCCATTCTTCAACCATGAAAACAGAAGAGATTTAGTTGTAGTCTTTAAGGTCTATTTTTGGTGTCGATACATTTCACAGTGTGCTGTCTCCGTTTTTCCTCTGCGAGGTACAGGGAGATGCCGTTGCACTTTTACATGTACGCAACGTCGGGACGTTTTCTACAACCGCAGTCTGCATTTTGTAACTTACAAGCGGGCAGAATCGGACACTGATTTGCTTTTCTGGTTGCAAATTTAACGTTGAACTTGGCGTTCGCATCAGTAGAGTTCGTTCTCTTTTCTTGAGATTCTCCGTATAGTTCACGTTTAGGACACATTTTCTAATCAGAATAACGGGGCCTGGATCAGCAATGGACTCTCTGTGACCGCAGACCGGTTTATTTGTTGAAGTAAAAACTCTTGAATTTCAATCGGACTTTAAATCAAGTTTTGACAGCTGCGTAAAACGCCGTTCAGTCTAAAAAAGGTGTTTCATTGAGCTCGACCACCTCTACCATCGTGCCTACCTGCGCAGAAACGTTGTTTTTAGACCGCCTGTTAAGCAAGCACGTAATTTCGTTTTTAATTGCTACTGTTGAACCAGGGCATTAAACTCTCTTGGATTCTGCTCTAGATTCTGTGGAGGCTACTAAATTTAAAAATGCATCCCCATAGGACGCCTTGCTTCCGAAATAAACTTGTCCGATTCACTCAGGTCACCAGAGCTACTTCATATTACTAGAATCAAAGGGGTCCAACCTAACGGCATTAATGGCACGGACGGTGGCACATGCTAAAACAAGGCAGAGTGAAGCGCCCATTTTTAACTGCTCCGTCGTTATTTGTCAGTTACAGCCCGGTTCTAGGTCGCTGTACTATTTTAATCCTAATCGGCTGGTTATCAACAGATCCAAGGTCAATCTCAAGGTCAATCTCGAAGTAATACGTCCTGTTAACTGCAGCTGCAATCATGTTAGGTCAGATTGTAACGCAGCCTACCCTTCTGACATGGCCAGTTTTTTTAACCAGGTGTTCTTTGTACTGACCTGCTGCACAAGTGAGCAACCAATAACCGATGGGACAATGAAAGTGTCATTTATTACTAGGGCGCTTGGCAGACCTTAATAATTGGTTTGACACAATTGTGAATAACTCAGTGACTTCACCGGAAGGCTTTAGCACAGCCAACGATCTAGCCACCTGAGCTACGAGAGCCCCCACCGGCAACCGCGAGTCCGATTCCCATAACAATGGCTATTGTTAACTTGTTGTTATCAGCCAAATAAGGTCGGGGCAGTAACTGCCGAAAGAGCTAACTTGGCACATTCAATTAAAGGCACAGTTATTTCCGCAAGTAGTTATTTTTGTTTTTCCTTTTGTTTTCTTCAGATCGGACTTCATTACCTCACACTATCGGCCAAAAAGGAGACAGTGAATTATGAAATTGTCTGTCGTCTTGTGGGCCTCAAACCCTACACCAATTACACAGTCTGGATCCGTTCAGTCAGTCCCAACGGCGATGTTTCCGCTTCCACGTCACCAGTGCATTTCGTTACTGAGCCCGAATGTAAGTTCATATGTTTTAGTTTACTAACTTGGCGGTTTGGCCGTTGTAAACGGCGCTGCATCTATGGCATGCCCCCAACCCCCCCTTATCACCCATATGAACCCAGATGTGTCAAGGCAGAGTCAGGAAGACCGGAGGTGAAATCGGGTGCAGTGAGTAGTAAGGCTAGTTAGCCCGTCTACGCGTGCCACGTGCACGCATGATCGATGCGGGGTCTAACAAAAACCAAAGTGGTGTTATACAGACCATACCTGAGAGGAGGACCGAATTATACTAGTGAAAGACAACCTTCCAAATCAGGGATTTTAGGTCACCTTGGTAGATTCCAGTGTGTAAGATTTATTATTAGTGAGCAATAATCGCCGACGGCTGTGGGTAAGAAGTCTCTAGACTAGACCGCACTCTC